AAAGAGGGCACATATTTATCTGAGTATCAATGATCAGATTTTGAAGTGCTAAAGGTTAGTTCTGTCATTCTCGTTATTAAAATTAAAATGTGGATATGGCTTTAATGTTTCTCAGCAGTCAACGATGGAAAATCAAGAATGGACACCAACCTGTTTGTTCTTCAGTATCTTCATGTTTTATTCTGGATGGTTCTGGATCACTCGTGTCTTCAACCTCCTCTTTAATAAACTCCATGTCACAGATTTCAGCTGCTGCACCTGGAGTTTGTACTCTTGTAAGGAATATTCACATCATCCTACCTTTTTAACCCAATCACAAACCCCGCCCACCACAGATTCAGAAGATTTCATTGGTCGTGTCAATCACAGTGATCGCCTACACAACACTGAAACAAATCCAGTACAAACCCATGACCTTAGTATAGGGTTACTTTGTGTCAAAGCAACCAAATTTCCAAAACTTCCCCAACTCAAAATTTTGGTTTGGTTCATATTTTTTATTTAGAAGAAAGACAAACATAAATAGTGATGAAAGACAAAAAATGAAATGGATATTGGATGGATATTTACGGAGTAATACACTAATTTGTAGAGGGGGGTCAAAACAACCATTTTCATCTGGAACTTGGAGCCAAATTATATGGTTAAAAAATGACTTTAGAAAGATGGCAGAATCATTATTTTTATTCCAGCACAGAGATTGGTAATTCTAGAAATGCATCTTGTTTTTTTTTCTATCAAAACAAATGAACCATTTTTCATCAAAGGTTTAAGAGCAGTTTATAAAAGTATACTGAGATATCCTTAAATACTTCTTGAGTTACAGGCATGCGAACGTCAGGAAAAAAAAATAATTTTAAGCATCACCATTGGCACTTAATGCAACAAGCATTGCTTAACTCAACAGATTTTACTAATGGACCAACCAATCTCTGTGTAAAAATAAAATATTAATGCTGCAATCTTTCTAAATAAATTTTTTTTCACCCTGTAATTGAGGTCCTTTACGAAATATTGGATTACTCACTAAAATATCCATCCAAGACATTTAATATTTTGGCTTTCTGCTTCATTTTTGTATTTCCCTCACCAGAAAGAGCTGTGAACTAAACCCATTAAGTCAAAAATGCAGCTGACTGAGTGATTGAGTTGATCAATGAAATCAGCGGTGGTGCGGGGCTTGTGCTTAACTGGTTCAGGGAAAAGAAAACACATTTTGACAAAACCATAACATTTTATAAAATTATAATCCTTGCATTTGAATTATGTTATATATAACTGGTTTGAACAAAAACGGCAGACAGTATGAATGAAAATGCTTATTTATTTCAATGTCAAAAACATGATAAGTGCAGGTATGGTGTCTGTAGTCTTGTATAGTATTTTTAATCATGTTTAACCTGAGGGGTAAAGATTAAAAACACACATCAATAGGTGATTATCACATAAAGTGATGATCCTGTAGTTTGTCTCAGTCTGTTGACACACAATGAAATCTGTTAATGTGCCAATTTACAGAAGATCTCAGACATCATCATAATGAATGAGGAGAAAACAGGGAACTATTTGCTTTCAGCAGCTCATTTAAACGTTACGCCTCTGTTTCTGTCAGACTATTGTTTCACTAATTGTCAGTTGACACTGTTTTGTTTTTGTTGTTTTGCACTTTTCTCATGCAGAAACACTGCAATTACTTTGACAATACAAATGTACAAATATTTGTCATGCTAATAAAGTACCTAACCGGATGATTTGACAGATTTTGCTCATTTTTACAACTTTGGATAAACATAGTAAGTAGTTACAATCATTTTAAGGTGGATAAATGTGAAAACTGAATGCAAACCCAGATTTAACAGCAGAGATCAGGTATCAGTCTGTGGTATCAGATGTTTGATGTGCTAAATCTTAGTTCTGTCATTCACTTGTTACTGCTGTACCGGTGTTATGATCATTTAAATGCATTTCTGTGTCATTTATCTTCCACATTCTGATCGATATTTCACAGCTACTAAAACAGTCAAAAATGAAGAATCGAGAATGGAAACCAACTTGTTTGTTCCTGTCTTCATGTTTTATTCTGGATGGTTCTGGATCACTCATGTCATCTATTTCTTTAATAAACTCAATATTTACTAAGCGCTGTCTATCAGTGCTTCCTGTCTTGAGTTTGGGCCTAACGACTGTAAGTCGTTCTCCAATCGCAAAGCAGTTACGTACCTAAGGTGCTCTCAACTCTGTTCAGAGCCCAGGTTATTTCCCTGTTAGCTCTCCCCATGGTGTACACTGAGCGTTCTGGATTATTCAGACAATCTGAGCAGCTCTTTGTGTGCTTTAGAGGCCGCTCAAAGGGCACACTCTAAGCTGCATAGGGATGGGGAGTCGACTCCAAAAGAGTTGATTCCTTGACTTTGAGTAGCTCTAGAGTCGGAGTCTATTTTTATGATAGCACTGACTGTAAAGTGACTGCAATGGGGTAATCACAATAGCCTAACACAACTCTGTGCTTTTGTTCTCATTTATTTTCATTTTTAGTTTAATGAATTTAACTTCTGCTTTAAAAGCCTTATATTTGTTTTTATATTGCAATGTTACAATGTTAGAATGAAATGTGATTTTAGCCCTTTTTTTGCACACAATATAAAGGCTTACATGGTTACATTCACTTTATTTGTTTTCATAGCCTTTAATATGTAGCCTATTGTTTTGTTGAACAACATATTAAATACAGATTTTTTTAATACAAATACAAAAACGAAAATACAGAGATATATAACGTATATCGCAAATTGGCCAAAAAATACAGAGATATTAATTTTTGCCCATATCGCCCAGCCCTCAGATAGCTAGAGTTGTTGCAGAAACGACTTTTCCCCATACTTTTATCCTACGTGGAGGTTACTTTAGAAATAAATAACAGTCATAGTAAATTTAGTTTGTAATTATACATGCTTCTGTGACAGCTTTGTAGTTTAATTGATGTTATGTGATGCGATGTTTCAGTGGGTGTTGCAATGCATCAGTCCAAAAGAAGTTAAATAAAAAGCGCCCATCCATAATAAAAAGTGTCTCGCACAGGTCCGGGCGGGGGGGTGAACAAAGTCATCCTGTAGCGAATCTATGCGTTTTTGTAAGAAAAATAACCATATTTAAAACGTAATAATCACTTGAATCTAGCTTGTGCTCACTGTTGTAAACAGAAGCAGTTCCGGGCGGATGACGTATGAGGTCAGCTTTGCGCATGCGCCGCTCAGAAGTGACGAATGCGGAAGCGCAGCGGAGAGATCAAAACAAAACACAACGGTCACGAATTAGAAGTACAAAACGAGGATTTGTAAAGAAGAATGTAGGAGGATTTCGATATAAGCCAAGAGGAGACTGGTTTTCCTTTGCTAATATAGCCGGCAGCTCCTCCCATTTTGGCGGGCTAGAGCGCCTTTGGTTTGTGCACCTACACAAGGTTTTTTTATTCTTTGATTGAATGCCTGCTCATTAAGACATTGACAAAGAAACACCCAAATTTAAATGCAATATTATTATATACGCAACATAAAAGTTGCATAGACTCTGTATAATGATGCAAATAAAACTTCCATTTCACTGACATCTCTGATTATGTGTGATATTAATTGATGTGTTAGTCCATTATAGTATTTTAGTCAGATACTTTATTATGTTCAGTAATAGATTATATTTGTGATGATCCTGTAGTTTGTCTCAGTCTGTTGACACACAATGAAATGTGCTTATTGTTCCAAACATTTAAAACAAGCCACAGGGCTCCAACAGGTCACAACTATAAGTGTGAAAATATGCAACCACTTATTGAAATTCTAACCCAGGGGTTAAAGCAAAAAAAAATCCTAAGCCTGAACTTTTTTTCGGGGGGTTGGGGGTTGCGGGGGCGGACACATACACAGGGTTTTTTGGCAAACAAAAAAAGAAAACAATTTTCCTTGGAACTAACTAGTAACGTATCTGCCATTGCCATTAGCCCTTGACAGGCTCAAACTACAGATTATGGTGGGATATTTGAAACAGCAATACCAAGAAAGTTTCCTCATTACAATATGGTGCAAACACATGTAACATTTAGGATGTTTTTGATATCAAGTTTTGCTGGTTAGCTTTGTCCTTGACATGGTACAAGATGACCTATAATCTAAAACATTCAATTTCTGAAATTGCTTTGTTCAAAAGAAATAATGGTAAATTAAATACTAGGGAATGAATATAACACAGGAAATATACAAAGACAGTTTACCACAGAAAACTACAGTTCAGTTCAGTTAACAACAACAAAAACATTAAAATGGTCCAAGAACTGGTCACTTAAACAGGGTTCGTATAGATATGGCTAAATAAAATTCCAGGACTTTCAAGGACTTGCACTACTTTTTTGGTTTTCAAGGACTAAAATCAGATCTCACTTATCAATCAATATTGTTATTATCTTTCAAATTCTAATATATAAACTAATAAAACTAATTGGTACAAATAAAGTGCGGCACATGCAAAGAATGCAATGACTGTGGCAACTTTAACATTTGAAAGGATACTATGGCAAAGTTATCGCTTTCCTTATTCAAACTGATTTATTTTTACTTAATTTACACTGTATAATCTCTCCAAATGAGACTTAGTGTTGAGTCTGACAGTCTATCATCATGTTCAGCTGAGCTGCTAAAACCCAATAGTTCCCTGTTTTCACCTCATTCACTATGGTATCTGAGATCTTCTGTAAACACATTAACACATCACTAAAAATCACACATAACCAGAGAAATAATCATGAGATGTCAGTGAAATTTTTTAATTTTTAAAATTGTATTTGCTTCATTATACAGACCTTGTGCAACTTTTATGTAGCAGAGGAACTTACAAATACATATCTTAAATGTTTTATGTATAAAAAAACAATACATCTCCACAAATCTTGTGACATTTCAACTAATCATTTGAGCTAATCTCATATTTTCTGTATCTAAATCTCACAATATTTACTTGAAATATTGAATCTGTAGAAAACATTTGCTCACTCTGACACAGAACAATACTTTTTAATATGAATCACTAGATTTGCTGATACAGTAAAACTCTTTCCACACTGACTACAGAAGTACGGCTTCTCTCCAGTATGAACTCGCTCATGTGATTTCAGGTTTCCAGACTGAGTGAAACTCTTGTCACAATATGAGCACTTGTAAGGTTTTTCTCCAGTATGAATCATTTGGTGCTGTTTCAGATTGCAAGCTCTAGTAAAGCACTTCCCACACTCACAACACACATGATCTTTCACTTCATTATGTGTTTTCTGATGCTGTTTATAACTGGCCAGCCGTGAAAAACTCTTTCCACAGTAAGAACACACATGAGCCTTCTCATCTGAATGAACTGCCAGGTGACTTTTTAGACCTGACGATGAAATAAACTTTTGACCACACTGATCACAGCTAAATGGCTTTTCTCCAGAGTGAACGTGCAGATGATAGCTGAGACCTGATGCATCAATAAAACTCCTTCCACACTGAGGGCATGTGTATGGTTTCTCTCCAGTGTGGATTCTCATGTGTTTCTTAAGGACTCCTTTGTCTCTGAAACTCTTTCCACACTGAGAGCAGGTGTGTAGCTGTTTGGCTTTTTTTCTTGAAGTTTTGATTTTACGGTGTTCCTCCACTTCATTCACCTCATGTCTTCGCTGTTTTACTTCTATCCAGTCTGAAATAAACAAATGATGTGGTTAAAATTCAGTGAACCTATTTTAATAGAAGAAACAAAAAGAGGGCACATATTTATCTGAGTATCAATGATCAGATTTTGAAGTGCTAAAGGTTAGTTCTGTCATTCTCGTTATTAAAATTAAAATGTGGATATGGCTTTAATGTTTCTCAGCAGTCAACGATGGAAAATCAAGAATGGACACCAACCTGTTTGTTCTTCAGTATCTTCATGTTTTATTCTGGATGGTTCTCGATCACTCGTGTCTTCAATCTCCTCTTTCATAAACTCCATGTTTCAGATTTCAGCTGCTGCAGCTGGAGTTTGTACCAGTCATGTAAGGAATATTCACATCATCCTACCTTTTTAACCCAATCACAAACCCCGCCCACCACAGATTAAGAAGATTTCACTGGTCGTGTCAATCACAGTGATCGCCTACACAACACTGAAACAAATCCAGTACAAACCCATGACCTTAGTATAGGGTTATTTTGTGTCAAAATTTTGGTTTTGTTCATATTTTTTATTTAGAAGAAAGACAAACATACATAGTGATTAAAGACAAAAAAATATAATGGATATTTACTGAGTAATGCACTATTTTGTAGAGGGGGGCCAAAACAACCATTTTCATCTGGAACTTGGAGCCAAATTATACGGTTAAAAATGACCTTAGAAAGATGGCAGAATCATTATTTTATTCCAGCACAGAGATCGTTTTTTCTAAATTTGCACTCCTGTATCTTAATCTTTTAAGTATTAAATATATCTCAGTGCACTTTTAAGTGGTTAATGGTTCTTAATAAACATTTCTTTCAGTATTCTTATTTTTAAGGACATATATGGTTCAATTCTAGAGATATGCTGATATGAAATTGTTACATTTTCAGTGTTCAAAAACCAAATGTGGGTAACTTCACAGCTAACTTTTTTGTATTTTAAAGAGGAATTTCTGAAGAAGATATAATGTTGAAACAAGAAATGTATCTTGTTTCCTCTATCAAAAAAACTGCATTAAACACCTGTCTGAATGCCAAAAAATATTAGTTTCCCAAATATTGCGTGCCTGTGACTGAAGAAGAAATAAAGATATCTCAATATGATTATAATTCTTAAAAAGGTTTCTTTTGAAATCCTCATTTAAAAGCCCTATTTCAATCCCAGCGATACGGGGATTGCAATGTGTCTCTGAGTAAATTGTTGAATTTTACTCAATTTCATACAGCTGATGCTTATTTAAAGAGGAATGTCTGAAGAACAAATAATCTTGAAATTAGAAATGCATCTTGTTTTTGTCTATCAAACCAAATGAACAATTTAGGGCCTTAAAAAGGAAGATACCAAAAAGTTTAAGAGCATTATAAAAGTATACTGAGATATCCTTAAATACTTCTTGAGTTACAGGCATGCAAACATAAAAAAAAACATTTTTGAAGCATCACCATTGGCATTTAATGCAACAAGCATTGCTTAACTCAACGGATTTTACTAATGGACCAATCAATCTCTGTGTAAAAATTAAATAATAATGCTGCAATCATTCTAAAGACATTTTTTTTCACCCTGTAATTTAGGTCCTTTACAAAAAATTGGATTACTCACTAAAATATCCATCCTAGACATTTAATATTTTGGCTTTCTGCTTCATTTATCTATTTCTTCTATCAGAAAGAGCTGTGAACTAAATCCATTAAGTCAAAAATGTTGTTGGCAGCTGACTGAGTGATTGAGTTGATCAATGAAATGCTTGTGCTTAACTAGTTCAGGGAAAAGAAAACACATTTTGACAAAATCAAAACATTTTATAAAATTATAATCCTTGCATTTGAATTATGTTATATATAACGGGTTTGAACAAACACGGCAGACAGTCTGAATGAAAATGCTTATTTATTGCAATGTCAAAAACATGATAAGTGCAGGTATGGTGTCTGTAGTCTTGTATAGTATTTTAATCATGTACTTTAACCTGAGGGGTAAAAGAATAAAAACACACATCAATAGGTGATTATCACATAAAGTCATGATCCTGTAGTTTGTCTCAGTCTGTTGACACACAATGAAATGTGCTTACCTCCAAGGAGGCAAGGGAGGCAGTGTCTCCTCAAAAAGTTGGATAAGAAAATAAGCGATATTACAAAAATAAAACAGCGCAAATATGATTAAATATGACATTAAAAGTCTAAACGGCACTCGTTTTTATAAAATAACACTGTCCAACAGCGACACCCACAGGTAAAGTTACAGCGGAGGCTTGCCTCCCTTCAGTCCATTGACTTTCTACAGAGACCCTAAAGCGTGCCGGCTCTTTGAAATTAATGGGGGAAAGTCACATGAGAGGAGGCAATGCCTCCGTCGCGCTATAATTGGATATGATCGGTTATGATTAGTTCGTGTGATAAATCCTGCCTCCTGTTTTCGTGCGAGCTCTCGGCCTGAATGAAGAAAATGGAGTTATTGACTAATTATAAAGTAAGTAAACAGTTCCTCTGCTTATATATCACTGCTTTGAGTCACGTCAAAATGAAACATGAAATGGCTTGAAAACTGTCTGGAGGCTCATTGAGATGAATGGGGGAAAGTCACGTGAGAGCAGGCAATGCCTCCGTTGCGCTATAATTGGATATGATCGGTTATGATTGGATATGATTGGTTTGTGTGATAAATCCCGCCTCTTGTTTTCGTGCGAGCTCTCGGCCTGAATGAAGAAAATGATGCTTATTGACTAATTATAAAGTAAGTAAACAACTCTCCTGCTTAGATACCACTACTTTGTGTCACGTCAAAATAAAACTTGAAATGGTCTGAAAACATGATGACTGCGTCAGTTTTTAATGAGCATACAGCGTGATGAAATGTAAGATATGTCTTGGTGTCTGTGGCAGTGTTTACAGGGCTTTTATGATAATGACCCGAAAATAAGTTGACTATTAAAAAGAACAGCTGAACATCAGTTCACAAATAAAAAATATTGGTAATATTTTACAATAAGGTGTCATTTAATGAGTAACTAACATGAACAAACATTGAACATGTATTACAGTATTTATTCATCTTTGTTTACATTAGGAAGTATTGTTTATTCTTAGTTCATGTTAACTAAAGTAGTTAACTAATGTTTAATAATGAAACCTTATTGTAAACGGTTTCCAGAATATTGCTCAAATCGTTACTGCCTTTAGCTCATATTTCTGAATAAATATAAAAATGCATAAAAACACTATAAAATGTATAATTAGTATTAAAATTTTAAATAAAATACAAAATAATATGAATACAATACAAAATAGAATTATATTTGTTCTCTTTTTTTATGTAATATTTCTATATAAATATATATTTATATATAAAACTGCCTCCTCATTTTAAAACACCACCGCACGCCACTGATATATATATATATATATATATATATATATAAAGAAAGAAAAACATCACCAGCTGCTAAATTTAAATCGCTGGCTGGCACAGAGTCAGAGACACACCCGATTCTGTTGAGTTTATCAATGCAATGAACATTGACCAATCAGAGGCGTTCAGATGAGTCACCGCGAGCGCTGGCTGACTGAGTTCTCTGGCTAATTCTCTCATCAGAAACAACTAAATGAAGATGTACGAATGTAAGTAAGATAATTTCACAGTGTAAACAGCTTTAGAGATTATTATGGGACTTTTTGAGAGTGCTTGAACTCGCTGGACTGAAGTGAAAATGTTCTTTGATAATGTAATGGTTCTTTGCTCTCCTTTTGTACAATGAAAGTGTTATAGGCTAATTAGTAACTTACAATGTTTTTTTTTTTTAAATTCACATTAAATACAAAGTCAGTCCTATTAAAAAATATTTTATGACACCCATATCTGGTACTGATTTTTATGCAAAGTTAATAGATTACACTATTAGGCTACTTTGGCCCATCGCCCATTATAGTTCAACTAACATAATCTATAAAGGTGCAAAATGCATTTACTTACACATATTTGAGAATCGAGATATTTCATTATATATTTTGGGAATACTTCTGTTAAATTATATAATGTAAAAAAATAATAATAATAAAGACCCTGGTGAAAAAACCAATAGACACCATTACAAAATTTGTAATGGATTTACTGGTTATAATGAGACTTGCATTGGTTTTACTGGAAACTGTAATGGACCCTGTTGGTCTCTACTGGTAATTGATTGCCTTCTATTGGTGGCTTGTTAAAACCAATACATCCTAATGGAATGTCTTTCACCAAATGAGCATTGTATATGTAACTATCAAATATAATAAATTTTTCTCCCCTTTTCACTTTCATTTCTTTCGGGATAAACTAATGAATTCACGTGATGTAAATCCAGTCTGCATAGCGCACATAGCCCGTAAATTTAGCGATTAACTATGCACATTATAAACTTAATATTTAACATACAACTTTCAACAACACTTTAACACTTATTTACATTGGCTATATTTGAGAATCTGAATATCGAATATTTTGCTTTTTTCCCGGCAATCATACAGCAAAAATGTCACTTGATACGTTGTCATGGACATAGGAATGAAAATCATTTAAAAAATACAGCAATAAAAATATAATTTAACTGGGGGCTCAACATTTTTAACTTAAAGTGTAAAAAAAAAAAAGTGTAGCAAATCACATTAATTTCCTCATGAAAAGTTAACTTCATTTTAAATCTGCATTGCTTTACAGTCAACCAATCAAACAACCATCCAATCACCTTCCACTAAGTAAATTTGAAGGTTGCATGTTCAACAGTTCGGACAAAATTATATCTAAAGTGATAGCATTTGGATTTAAAGAATATAATATCAAGGGAAACAAAAGAACTGCAATATGTAGAACCTGTGGTTCAAAAATTACAGATGCTTTGTCAACGACATCCAATTTTGTGAGGCATCTGAAGACCCATAAATAGTCCTAACCTTTATTGGAACATCCAACAACATAAGGCATGTGCAGCATAAATAATAATAATAATATTATTATATTAAGTTACTGTACTTCAGATTACAAAACGGTAAGAAAGAGATGGTTCTTTAAAGAACCTTTGACTGAATGGTTCTTGTCCAAAAATGGTTCTTCTATGGCATCGCTTGAAGAACCTTTTGAAGCACCTTTATTTTTAAGAGTGTACAAGGCCCCTTAATGGGTTAGCTCCTGCGTACATAGTCTTCTACCACGCTACAATCCATCATGCTCCCTAAGGTCGCAAAAATCTGGACTTTTGGTAGTACCTAGGATAGCAAAGTCCACTAAAGGAGGTAGAGCTTTTTCGCATTTGGCTCCCAAACTCTGGAATAGCCTTCCTGATAACGTTCGGGGTTCAGTTACACCCTCTCTGTTTAAATCTAGATTAAAGACACATCAAACTTTCTGTAAAGTTGCTTTGCAACGATTTGTATCGTGAAAAGCACTATACAAATAAACTTGAATTGAATTAATATAATTGTCAGTCTGCAGTCAATTAAGCTGACTTTATTCCAATATTTTAGGCTTGGCTGAGACCTGGATTCGACCTAAAGGTCGAAAAAAAGGCATAAAAAAACAGCAGCACCTGCTTCAACAACTTATTTTTCTCCCACACCCCCATCAGGTCTGGTCTCCTCATGTCAAAAAGCTAGAAATAATTCACATGCTCCTATAACTGTTAACAATATTTTCTTTTAAATTTCATGCTGTTACAGTCACACTCCCTGTAAAACTCCATATTGTAGTTATTTATCGCCCTCCAGGTCAGTTGGGAAACTTTCTAGAAGAACCGGATATGCTGCTGTCCTCATTACCGGAGGATGGCAGCCCTCTTGTTCTTCTCGCGGACTTCAACATCCACCTTGAGAAGCCATTTGCTGCTGGCTTCCACTCTCTCCTAGCCTCTTTCGACCTTCGGCAACTCAACACCACAAGTACTCATAAATCATGTAACCAGCTTGACCTCATCTTTACACGCAATTGTATCACAGATTAAATCTTGTTTAAACCTTTGCACGTCTCGGATCATTTCATTATCACTTTTGATCTACATCACCACCAAACCCTCTGCCAGCTTCATTTAGACGAAAACTAGGTCTCTTTCTCCTTCTCGACTTTCCTCTGTGGTATCTTCATCTCTTCCCACCCCCACAAATTTCTCATCATTAGATGTGAATTGTGCCACAGATACGACTTATTTTCTATCCTAACTACCTGTCTAGGCAATATCTGTCCTCTTTCCTCCAGACCAGCGCACGACTCCCTCCAACCCCTGGTTATGTGTTGTCCTCTGTGAGCAGTGGAGAGAAAATGGTGCAAAGATGTAGCTAATCTCAGTAAGTGTTGTATCAGTCACAGATATCCTCATTTTCCACCAAGGTAAAAGTTTTCCTTCGTTGCCGAAACTTCCTTTTTTATAATAAGATCAATGGCACATCACATACACGGAAACTCTTCAAAACATTTAATTCTCTTCTCTGTCTATTAGACTATGTAGAAAATCAGCTGCACCTTGAAATAGATCCTGAATGATATCTATTTAATGTCAATTGTTAAATATTCCCAAACTTTACTGATGAACTGCTGAGCCATGAAAAGTTGGATAAAGTAAAAAAAAATTCAGCACTCGACTCTCGCGCTTCTCCCCTCCTGCTTGTCATCTTTTTGCCTTTCTGGATTTGTATGGCTGGACTTCCATCATGCCCAATCTAACCTCTACAAATGATTCAGAAAGCAGCAGCATGACTGGTCTTCAACGAGCACAAAAAGATCCACGTCACACCTCTCAGCACTGCTTATCGGTTGCGGCTCGCATCAAGTTCAAGACACTGATGCTCGCTTTAGTTGTGTATAGAACAGCCACAGGCTCAGCACCCGCCTACTTCCACTCACTATTACGAATCTACATCCCCTCCAGAAGCCTGAGATCCGCTAGTGAGCGACGCCTCGTGGTACCATCACAGAGAGGCACAAAATCACTTTCCAGAACATTTTTGTTCATCGTTCCTGACTGGTGTAATGATCATCCCACCCTCATCCAGAATGCTGAATCCCTGACAAATTTCAAGCGACAGCTCTTTTATCGACATTCGACTACATCCTAAACAAAAAAAAACTTTTGCTTTCTCTTTTCTTAATTCCTCCCCGTCTAGCTTGTACTAATCTGAACAATGTCTGAAACTTTGTATTATGAGCACTTCCTGTGCCCCTTGTACTTCCTGGCACATTAAGGTACACATTCCATTGAACTACAGGATCATCACAAATAAAATCTATTACTGCCTCTGAACAAAATAAAATATCTGGCTAAAATACTACAATGGACTAACATAACTAAAAATCGCACATAACCAAAGAAATAATCAGAGATATCAGTGAAATGGACATTTTATTTGCATCATTATACAGACCCTGTGCAACTTTTATGTTGCAGAGAAACTTAAAAAATAAGTATCTTTGAAAAAAAAAAGTTTTATATAACAAGACTGGTCATTGAATTCTCTTACATATTTGTCGTTTTATTTGGGTGTTTCTTTGTCAATGTCTTAATGAGGAAGCATTCAATCAAAGAACACACACACATACAGTATATACATGTGACTAAAAACTTTTGCTGTTCTCCAACAAAACAGAAAAAAACCCATCACAAATCTTGTGGCATTTCAGAGCAAAATGAATCATTTGAGCTAATCTCATATTTACTGTATCTGAATCTCACAATATTTATTTGAAATATTGAATCTTGTAGAAAACATTTGCTCACTCTGACACAACTGAGTGAAACTCTTTCCACACTGAGTACAGTGGTACAGCTTCTCTCCAGTATGAACTCGCTCATGTATTTTCAGGTGTTCAGACCAAATGAAACTCTTGTCACAATGTGAGCACTTGTAAGGTTTTTCTTAAAGGGTTAGTTCACCCAAAAATGAAAATGTGGCTGCGTTTTACTCACCCCCGAGGCATCACTGCTTCTGTTTACAACAGTGAGCGCAAGCTAGATTCAAGTGATTATTACGTTTTTAATATGGATATTTTTCTTACAAAAATGCATCGATTCGCTACAGGAGGCCTTTGTTCACCCCCCGGAGCCGTGTGAGACACTTTTTTTTATGGATGGGCGCTTTTTATTTCAGGTCTTTTGGACTGAAGAAATGCAACACCAGCTGACTGAAATGATAGAGCTTGAAAGATCAAAGACCATTTTTAATATAACTCCGACTGGATTCGTCTGAAAGAAGAAAGTCATATACACCTAGGATGCCTCGGGGGTGAGTAAAACACAGCCAAGTTTTCATTTTTGGGTGAACTAACCCTTTAAGTGTGAATCCTTTGGTGTCGTTTCAAATAGGCAGCTGTAGAAAAGCTCTTTCCACACTCACAACACACACGATCTCTCATCATGATCTTTTATCATGTGTTTTCTGGTGCTTTTTACAACTACGCAGGCTTGAAAAACTTTTCCCACAGTAAGAACACACATGAGGCTTCTCATCTGAATGAACTGTCAGGTGACTTTTTAGACATGATGATGAAATAAACTTTTTATCACACTGATCACAGCTAAATGGCTTTTCTCCAGAAGGAATGTGTAGATGATAACTGAGACCTGCTGCTGCAGTAAAACTCTTTCCACACTGAATACAGTGATACGGCTTCTCTCCAGTATGAAGTCGCAGATGTGCTTTCAGGCTTCCAGACTGAGTGAAACTCTTGTCACAATGTGAGCACTTGTAAGGTTTTTCTCCAGTATGAATCATTTGGTGCCGTTTCAGATTGCAAACTCTAGTAAAGCTCTTCCCACACTCACAACACACATGATCTTTCACTTCATTATGCATTTTCTGGTGCTGTTTATAACTGACCAGCCATGAAAAACTCTTTCCACAGAAAGAACACACATGAGGCTTCTCATCTGAATGAATTGTCATGTGACTTTTTAGACCTGATGGTGAAATAAACTTTTTACCACACTGATCACAGTTAAATGGCTTTTCCTCAGAGTGAAAGAGCAGATGTTTACGGAGATTTGCTGCATCAGCAAAACTCTTTCCACACTGAGGGCATGTGTATGGTTTCTCTCCAGTGTGGATTCTCATGTGTCCTTTAAGGTTTTCTTTGTCTCTGAAACTCTTTCCACACTGTGAGCAGGTGTGCAGCTGTTTGGCTTTTTTTCTTGAAGTTTTGATTTTACAGTGTTCCTCTTCCACTTCATTCACCTCATGTCTTTGCTGTTTTACTTCAATCCAGTCTAAAATAAACAAATGATATGGTTAAAATCAGTGGAACTGATTTAATAGCAGAAATCAAACGAGGTCACATATTTATCGGAGCATCAAGGATCAGATCTTTGATGTGCCAAAAGTTAGTTCTGTCATTCCTTGTTAATACAATTAAAATGTGGATATGATCATTTAGATGATAATATATTAATCATATTGCTCATTATTTAACAGCCACTAAATATTTTTAACAACAGCTTTAATGTTTCTCAGCAGTCACCAATAAAGAATCAAGAATGGACACCAACCTGTTTGTTCCTCGGTATCTTCATGTTTTATTCTGGATGGTTCTGGATCACTCGTGTCTTCAATCGCCTCTTTAACAAACTCCATCTTTACCATGTCACAGATTTCACCTGCTGCACCTGGAGCTTGTACCTGTCATGAAGGATGATGTGAATATTCCTCACCTTTTTAACACAGTTAAAGTACAAACCCTGCCCACCACAGATTCTAAAGATTTTATTGGTCGTGTCAGTCACATTGATCGCCTACACAACACTGAAACAAATCCAGTACAAACCCGTGACCTTAGTATAGTGTTAAACAAACAAATTTCAGAAACTTCCCAACTCAAATTTTTGGGTTTGTTCATATTTTTGAGAAGAAAGACAAACATAAATAGAGATGAAAGACACACACACAAAAAAGAATGGATATTGGATGAATATTTATTTATATATTTTTGAGTAATCCATTATTTTGTAGAGGACAGTCGAAACAACGGTTTTTATCTGGAATTTGGAGCCAAATTACAGGGTGAAAAAATGACTTTAGAAAGATGGAAGCATCATTATTTCTAAACAGAGATTGCTAATTCTATTAGTACAATCGGTTGATTTTTGGCAATACTTGTTGCATTGTGACGGTTCAAGAATGGGAAAAAGCACTTTTCAAGTTTCCCCCCCCCCTAAGTTTGCCCTCCTGTATCTCAACAAGTATTAAAGATATCTCAGTACAGTTTTAAGTATTGTTCTTAACAAACATTTATAGCGGACAGCGCATTCCAGGGCCCAGTTTATGGCGGTACCAATAGTGGACAAAGGTTTGCTACATTTTGATTGGATCTTGGTGGACTAACATAAGCAAACTGTCCAACGCCATCAGATAAAGATGCCAGGACAACAGCCAGACACCTCTTAGAGGGCAAGAAGGAGACCTTTGGTACAAAGCCCGGGAAGGACAGGACTTCTCATTGGTCAAAATGCAGTTTCTGCCCTTCACCCACCAACAGACTGATTCCTAAGGTTTTGGCCTGTGACCGCCATAAAAATTCCTTAGGACCTCTGGACGCAGCAGCAGTGGGTGAAACAAAAGAGAGATCACAGTGTTTCATCCAAATCCATATGTTCTCAAACCTTAAACTGATGCAAACTACAACACACACATCTTATACTTATTCAGAGAAATAAACATTCTCAGTGACAGCGACGTGTAGTGCAACATCTTTCACAAACTCAGCTGTTAATGGACGAATGAATGCATGCATGACAGTTCAATCTTCCATCATATTTGGACTTAATGTGTTTGTAACATTGCCAAAGGTATTTTGGTTGTGGTTTGATAAGTGAATACTGCATTAGTAAAACTTTAGTGACACTTTTCTAAATGTGTTTGGTCAATGCAAATAAGTTCCACAAGAGGAAAGAAGGGTGGGCCACACCATGTCCCCCACTCTGATGGAAACAGCCAATCACAGCCTGGAAATGGAGAAGCGCCAAATTGCAATCTCCTCCTCATCAGAAGAAGATAAAGGTACCTTCCCAAAAGACACTTTGTTCTGAGTCTCCGGCCTGTTACAGGGAAGGCAGCAACCGAAACAACCCATTCTGAGTCTCCCATCCAGAGAGACAATAGCTGAGTCTCAAGCCTGCAAGGGTGAGACACTAGCAGATACACTCGTTCTGAGTCTCCCATCCTGAGACAGAAACATCAACATTCTGAGCCTCTGGCCCATGCGGGAAGAGGCAATAACAGATACCAAGTCCTGAGTCTCCACCTTGTGAGGCAAAAACAGATACGACCAGTTCTGAGCCTCCAGCCGGTGAGGAGAGAGATATTCTACGTTTAGAGTATTCGTCCAGCGAGACAACAACAGATGCAGCAGTCCCGAGTCTCCATCCTAGTGAAACAAAGTGAATTGACCAAGTTCCGAGTCTCTAGCCCAGAGAGGCAGAAGACATACAAACATTTGCAACAAGGTTAAGCTCCGGCGAGCAAACCTTCACTTCAAGGTACTTTTACTTACGTGTTCCAGGCAAGGACCTTCTGCACCTACTCCAGGGCCACATCTGTGTGTTCCAGATTTTAGGACAGATCAGCATCCTACAGTGCTTCGTGTTCAAGGCTGTTGAAACGGATTCCTGCTCCTTTGCCCACTGCATTGTTACCAGCACAACCAGTGGAAGAAGTCACCGCTCACTCGATCGCAGAGAATGTAACTATCACTATCAAAACCTCTTCCAGAGTCCTTGGCATTGTTGTATATTATCAGTATATGATTTTTCTCATTTACATTAGCTATTATATAGCTGATTGCAGTTGATAACAAATAATCTTTCACATATTTTTTTGATGCATAATAAGGTTCTTCACCTTATTTGTTTCAGAGTAGCAACAGTTTATCTCTCCAGATAACGTAGCTCTGACTAGCAACACCCAAAATAATCACTTGAATTTTATGCATCTTATGCACTCTATTCTTATTTCACTTATGGTATTTATTTATTAGTTGTTGATTACTCTTGTCTATCTTTTCTTAATAAAATCTATTTTATTACATTTGTGTCTTCCTTGTGTTGATGATTCAGAAAGTTCTACAAGTTAGGGATCCCACCAATCTTTTTTATGTGATGTACTCATAACCGCACCTTAAGTGACAATTGATCCAAAAATCATAATGTCATTGGTGAAGTGAGTACCCATCACTACACTATTTCGCCTCCCTAGGTTGGCGAAAGCAAATTCACTACATATTTCTTTCAATATTCTTATTTTTAAGACAATATATGGTTCAATTCTGAAGATATGGAGATATGAAATACATTTTCAGTGTTAAAAATCAAATGTGGGCCACTTTTAATAGGTAATAACTTTTTGTATTTTAAAGAGGAATATCTGAAGATGAAATGTTGAAACTAGATATGTATCTTGTTTCCCTCTATCAAAACAACTGCATTAAACATACCTGTGTGAATGCCAAAAATATTATTTTCCCAAAGATGGTGCGCTTGTGACTGAAGAAATAAAGATATCTTAATATGATTTTAGATTCTAGATCTTAAAGTTTTCTTTTGGAATCCTCATTTTACTTAGGCCTATTTAAAGAGGAATGTCTGAAGAACAAATAATCTTGAAACTAGAAATGCATCCTTTTTTCTATCAAACCAAATTACCATATTAGGCCTTAAAAATGATGATACAAAAAGAAAAGTTAAAAAAACAGTTTATAAAAGGATACGGAGATATCCTTAATATTGAGTTACAGGCATGCAAACTTAAGAAAAAAATACAAAAAGTTATTTTTTCCCCATTTTTGAAGCATCACCATTGGAATTTAATGCAACAAGCTAGTGCTGGGCGGTATACCGGTTCATACCGAATACCGGTGTTTATTTTTCTTATGATATGAATTTTTTAAATACCGCAATACACTGTTATAGTATAATATAGCATAATAAGAATTATAGCATGTCATTTAAACAACCTTCGGAACGCGACTGTCTGAGAGGGGTCTCTTTTCACTGTTGCACTGTGGTGAGGGAACAGCTGTATGTGTTACTAAGCGTGAAAGTTCCGAAACTGAAGCGGTATACCGGTTCATACCGAATACCGGTGTTTATTTTTCTTATGATATGAATTTTTAAAATACCGCAATACACTGTTATAGTATAATATAGCATAATAAGAATTATAGCATGTCGTTTAAACAACCTTCGGAATCTTTTTTCCATAGAATATACATACTGACAAACCTAGCGACTTTTTTTTTGGATAAACCTTAGCCATCGTTCAGTTGTCTCCAGTGCTGCCCCGCGAGCGCGAGGTCTGACTCTCCCGGCGCGGTGCCGCCTCTCTCTGTGTCTCTGCGTGATTTGACCTAGTACAACATGTTCCTGGATCAACATCCTTGTTGATCCTGGAATATCATTCCAATCAACCAATCAGAATTGAGAGATAACTTTTCAGGAAATGTCAGTTTTAGGCTTACAATCAGGGTTAGGTGCTTCTACTCCCTTGTTAATCAGCTATCATTTACCTCTGATTTTAGGAATAAATTATGGGTAAGGTTAGGTTTAGGGGTGGGGATTGGGTTAAGTCTGTATTTTTGGACAGGAATGTTGATCCAGGATCAACAAAAGATGTTGATCCAGGAACATGTCTTACTTGGCAAAATCACGGCGACCCTGTTCTGTGCAGTGAGCGGCAGAGAAGCAGCGCATTCAGTGGGCCGTACCGCAACAGACTCGTCAATAAATGAGTACAAAACAGTGTTTACAAGCACCTGTCGCTTACTGACTGTTTGGAACTATAAATATGAGCATAGTTCATCTGTTAATATTATGCCCTTTTTTGTTTGTTGTTTTTTTGTTTGATAGTCAGCAGTGGCGCCTGCACATGTACGGACTGTGCGTACCATGAGCGCTCAGACTGACCTGAGATTTGCCCCGCAAACATTTCAGCAGTTATTATAGGCCCGTGTGTCCCGTATTTCTGTCGAATGAACCAGCCATGCCATTAATTATCAATTTATCAGTCTTTTGCATGCCAATGTCAATTTCTGCATAGAAATTTTACGCCAAATAGAAGCAGAAAATCATGCTATACACACATTCATGAGATCGGGTTAGCCCACAACAATTAATTTGTTGACTATTTTACAAATGGGAATACAATGATTTCATGACAAAGTTCAAGCTACCCGTAACATTTATAGTGAAAAGTACTTTAAAAGCGTCTGGAATGCAATAAAGTAATTTTTTAAAGCTGTTTTTAAAGCATTTGCTGCAGTGGATAAAAAAATAGGCTAATAAATAATTCACATCAGACAAAATTGCGTTGCAGCAAATCCTTTAAATTTTAAGGTATTCAGAACAGAGCAACATAAACGTCAGAAAATATAAGCAGCTATACAATTATAGGACAAAGTTTTACATATATGCCATTATAATTTGTTTTATTTTTTTATTGTACAGAATTATAAAATAAAACAATCAGGCCTGTTGAGTTTCTATTTTCGATTTGAATTATTTCATTTTAAAGTAGTAATTTAAAGCTTTCTATATATTTTTAATCATGTCTGTGAGGCAATTCTGTGAGATGGTTCATCACTGTGAAGCGCTCCTGCTCAAGACCAAGACGGCAGAAAGCGTTTGTTTTCTTTATTTTATGAAAGCACAACATTTGGTTGATATTGTGAGTGGACACAAATAAAAGTAGACCCTTTACAGTTTGGAATGACGTATTACTCTTACCTTTATGAGCAAAAATGACTGCGTATTTTAAGTTGTTTCCACT